TAGCTGGTTCAGGTGTGTTTAATCAGGGTTGAAGCTAAACTCTGCAGGACCATGGCCCTCCAGGAACAGGTTTGGACAATCCCAGACCTAAAGGTTGTGTATCAGGTACTAAAACGCACAGGTGTTTTGCCACAGTGACCAGCTAAAAGTACAGTTTTTGTACATTTTTTCTCTTAACCTGTGCATCTAGAAAAATTGCATAGTGTATTCAACATGCATACTAAATACTGCAGCTGTATTAAGAGTAGTATGACATTCTAATCTCCAATCCTAATTTTCACTCTTTAGATTATGCATCAAAGGTAAAAAAAAGAAAAAGAAAAAAATGACACCCTAAAGAAATTAGAAGGGCATTGGTTGGTTGAGGTGTGTAGTGTGGAGAGCACAAATGTTGCAGATGGGTGGTCTTTTTATCCAGTGTGGATCAGGGACAGGCCTGATAGCAGACTGACTCCGCTATTCAGAAGCTTTTTAATCGCCAATCGTTTTTCTCATTTGCCTATCTGCTCTCTTTGCTCCAGCTCATATTATTTTCTCCAGCTCTGTCTCAATTTGCCATTGTGGAAGACTGATGTTTATCTCACACACCTCCGCGTCACTCCTAGCCAGAAAAAAAGATGAAATTAAAACCCACCTGGTATTTCTTTTGGGTAAGAAACCATGCTGTGCAATTACCAAACCCTCAATTATGTGCAGATTCGACACAAGAGGTTTTGAAACATGATATAACGCTCATGAAAAGGGCCTCTGCATTTCCCATGTGCAGAAACCTAAAGTGAACTGAGGTCTTGCTCTTTCTCTAGCTTGTATCCTTAACAAAGTCCTTGTTAACAATCGGTCTTTGGCATGTTGCTAAGGAACACCCGATTCTCCCACAGCTTTGAATGTGTTCTCAATGCTCAGAGACTCTCACGTTGAAGCGTTTACTACATGCATAACTACCGTAAGAAGGAAGTGTAAAGAAACCTGTGATTAATGTATTAGACATGCCCCAGATGTTTATAATTATTGTCAGTCTACTGTCTTCCTCCAGAAGAAAGGAATTGTAGGTGTTCCTTTCTCTCTAAAAATAGAACGCATTAAAAAGAGGCTCATTTTCTAAAGCCCGTTGGGTTGCCCAGAAACTCCTCTCTTAATTATGCAAGACATGCTATGCAAGCACACGCGCAAAAACACACAAACGCAACGGTGGGTTCAGGAGTTCACCTGTGTAGTTGTCATGGAGGCAAAGCTGCTATCTGTGGCAGCAGATTTCCCCCATGCGGTGCGGATCATCCGTGATAAAGATGCTACTGAATGATGCTCAGTTTGGTGTCAAAATCCTCAACCTGCCTTTTTGGCCTATATCTCTGTCTGCTGACTGAGGAGACTTTTTTATGGGTTTTTGCCCTATCATTTAATTTTCACTGGAAAAGCAAACATCATGGATGGCTGGTGAACATTAACATTAACCTTTTACATCCTGAAAGCTATTGATGTAATTAATGGTCAGGAGTTTATACAGTGAATAAACTAGACCTGGCTCCAAGTCTCCCACAGATCTCATTTTGCTTTTGTATATTTCTATAAGGGGTCCTGTTTGGGTAGGTGGCAGTACTGTGCTGATCATAAGGTTCAAATGTAAGGAACTTTTATAGTAGTGCAGGAAAAGTCTATCAGTGCTTTAAAGGATTTCTATGAGATTGCCAGTTAATGGTAAAAAAATATAATAATAATCAGTATGTGCAAGAATATCTGAACGTCCTTAAAACAAGGTCATCTTACTTTAGAAGCAAGACTGCATGAGAGACTTAATTTCAAATAATATATCTTGAAGTATTTTTCATTGGCAGATTTATTTTTTTTTACTTGTTTTCACAAGCATAAACTATGGAACAATTGAGAGTTAAAATACAGTAAAAACACAGTGAAAAAATATTTCCAGCTTCTATAATAATCATTTTAAATGTAACCTGTAAAAATATCCACCATTGATATATACTGATACTATTCTATAGTAGGGCTGGACAATAATTCAATATCAATATGTATCGCGATACACATGATCCTTCAGAAATCATTATAATATGCTGATTTGCTGATTATCAATATTTAAAACAGTTGAGTACATTTTTTTTCAGGATTCTTTGATGAATAGAAAGATCCAAAGATCAGCATTTATCTGAAATAAAAAGCTTTTGTAACATTATACACTATTCCATTCAGTATAATTTTTATTATTTTTTTGGGAAAGAAATTAATACTTTTATTTAGCAAGGATGCTTAAAATTGATCAAAAGTGATGATAAAGACATTTATAATGTTACAAAAGATTTCCATTTCAGATAAATAGTGGTCATATCGATATCGGAATTATATCGTAACGACCGAAATTAAGAAATATATCGTGATATAAATTTTGGCCATATCGTCCAGCCCTATTCTATAGATATATTCAGTGAACAACAAGACAATGATGCACAACACCTGGTGCTATTTTGCAATAGAGAAGTCATTTACTTCCCTCAAACATCTTTTCACTCTTATTTGCTTTAAACTCTGTTCTTCTGAACTTCTGAACTCTGTAGCTCCTACAAAGGGATCGTTGGCCTCTCTGAAGCTGCTCCCAAGAGTATCCTCTTCCTTCGAGCAGACAGTTTTGTGGGACGACCTTTTCTAGACAGTTCCTGGTGGTTTGATGTAGCCTCTGTTTCGTGATAATTTAACCAATAATGTACCCAGAGAGATATTTTCTTTACTTTTTAAATGTTTATCTTCAACAATTTTGGAATTTGTTTTAGTTCTCACAGCTTTTTCATGAAAAAAAATGTATCCCTTAATGTTAATATTAATGATTTACAGATAGCGGACAATAACAAGAATATTATTAAGAATGCATGAGTTTCAAAAATATCACTGAGAACTAAATTTCAGTGTTTGTAATTGCATACAAAGAAAAGATTAGCACTATATTTTGCTCCTTCGGGCTGACAATAAATGGCCATGAAGTGCAACCAACGTATGTGGGGAACCAAGACCCAGATTCGATTCTTATTAACATAATGTCATTAGAAACAGATACTTTCAGTGTTCATGTTATGCCATGATTCCCATATAAAAATCAATGCTGAAAAGAGGCATATTTATCTGTGCTTTCACAGGGGTGCTAATAGGCTCTTTAAAAGTCTCTCATTACTTTCTCATATTGAATTCTGCTCAAGTCTGCTTCTGGGCTGTCAGAAAGTTAATCAAAGCTTTGTTTCTGTGCAGTACGCCTGCATAATCCATGTGGCACTCAGCTATTAGGAGTGAGCCACTTCAGTTGAGATGTTTTTATCCTCATCAATCATCGGTTTCAATCAATTCATGTACTGTCAGTCCTGTCTTAGGCCAATTAATGGAACAATTAAAACGTAATCACTCCAGAAGGAAGAAAATGTTTTTTGACTTGAGTTTCTCTTAGAAGAATATAGTTCTGAGGTTGGACAGGCAGCCACTCGAACTGCCAGCGCAGAGAAATGATACTGACACATGAAAGGCTAGAAGTCAATGATTAGCAAGACAGGCTACGGATCAATTTGGCCGGGCGCAGACTTTGAAGCCTTCCGCTATGCTAATCGATGAAAAACTGCCTGCTTGTTAATGCATTCGAAGATGGATGGAAAACAAATGGCTACCTCTGGCATCATCCCTCATCGGCCCTCCTGTGGCCTTTGCCAACACACACACACACACACACACACACACACACACACACACACACAGACAGACAGACAGACAGACAGTTCTCCCCGGACTGATTGTAGTGTTTGCTGTTGTTTATTTCTCTGTCATTTGTAGTGTTTTTTTATGGTTGCCTCAACCACCTTTGCTTCATAATTTCATTTACAAGTGCTATAGCTTCAGGAAGCATTTTATTTTTGATTGTTTGTTGTTTTTTTACCGTCTTGCCTGATGACATGAGGTCTCAAGAGCTTAATTTTTTTCTCTCTGTCTCAAACCTTTATGTTGAGCCCTCTTATATTATTATGTAGAAGATTCAACACTCCAGGGTTTTCAATATAATTCTGTTTTTTTTTTTGCAGTAAAATATATATGCAGTACAATATATCATACTTGTGTATTTGTGCATTTCATTCATTTATTGTGTGTGTGTGTGTGTGTGTATACACATAAAAAAATATATATATACAGTTGTGCTCATAAGTTTACATACCCCTTGCAGAATGTGCAAAATGTTAATAACTGAAACAAAATAAGAGGGATCATAAAAATTGCATGTTATTTTTTATTTAGTACTGTCCTGAATAAGCTTCCAGCATCTTCTGCATATTTGAACCCTTTCCAAAAGTGACTGTATGATTTTGAGATCCATATTTTCAGACTGAGGACAACTGAGGGACTCATACACAACTATTAGAAAAGACGAAAACATTTACTGATGCTCAAGAAGGCCACACAATGCATTAAGAGCCGGGGGATGTAAACGTTTGAACAGGATGATGATGTGTAAATTGTTCTCATTTTGTTTAACGATCATATTTTTTCATTTAGTACTGGTAGTGTGTGTGTTATACATGATATGTTATCGTATGAACAACCAGTCAGTAATGATACTCATTTAAGATTCTCATAACGTAATTACATAAACTTCGAGACGGACATCACTGAAATGTGTGTCACATTGATTTGGTTCAGTGAGTTGATTCTGGAACAGATGTTGCTACTGTCAGACGGATTCATCATTAACTCCCAAATTCATGAGTCTTCTTCAATGATTCATTAAAAAAAGACCGCTTCTGACTACATTCACTATACTGAATCAGACAAGTCCTTGCATTGAGTGCCTGCTCAAGTCATTCCTTTGCTATGTGCTCTCTTATGAGTAGAAAGGATTAGCAATATTAAAATATTCCCTCATCTATTATTTAAAGTTATAAAAAAGGTTTTCCTGAACACCCAGCTAATCCCACAGCTGTGACCTCTGACCTTGAACCACCACCCTCTGCTTTGTCCCACAGGAGCAGAGCCCCAGTAACCAGACATCACTGGCCATGATGCAGGAGCCCCAGGAGGTTGTGGAGGAGACTGTAACCATAGAGGAAGACCCCGGCACACCCACCTCTCATGTTTCTGTGGTTACCTCAGATGATGGGACTACACGCCGCACAGAGACTAAGGTACTCCTGCTTACATCTGCCATGTTTTCATATGTCTTTTGTTTGTACTTGTGACATTATTAGATATGCAAATGCACACAAGTGCTCATTCATGCTCACAGCATCTCATGGTGATGTTCTTTAAAGAGGTACTATAAAGAAATTCAATGAAAAACTCCTTCTAATAGATGAGCTGTTTTATATTTACCTAAAGACTTAAGAAATAGGCTTAATACCAGATGTTACTGAATATATTTATGCATTGCATAAAATTTAGAATTATATCAAGAAGAAATTTATTAATATTCTTCATCTTGACGTTTTTACATGGAAAATAAAATCTCTATTTGTATAAATCAGTGTTATTTTAATATTATTAGTATGGTATCATAGTGTTTATTAATATTTTGAAGAAGCTTATATTTGTATTTTTTTCTTTTACTTTAAAATTGTATTTAAAATTGTATACATGTTATGTACTATTGTCATTATATTTATAGATTTTTTCCTATTTTGTTTTTATTTGTATTTCTATTTTATTGAATTTTATTTCTATTACTTCAGCTTCAAACTTATTTTAGTTAGTTGACAAGGCAAGGCATTTCTAATTTATGGTTTTGTCAATTCAAATTTTCATCTAATTAATATA